CCTTGACGGATAAGAGCAAGCTCGATGGTCAGCCTGAGCTTTTCATTCATATCGTTCCTGACAAGACTAACAACACCTTGACCATCATTGATAGTGGTGTCGGGATGACTAAGGCTGGTACGTATATCTGTTGTTTGTTTTCTTAGGTTTTGCATCTCTGTGTTTGATTTGTGTTGGCTAATGCGTTTTTGTTGCATTGTACAGATTTGGTTAACAACCTTGGAACAATTGCGAGGTCTGGTACCAAGGAGTTCATGGAGGCTTTGGCTGCTGGTGCTGATGTTAGCATGATTGGGCAGTTTGGTGTTGGTTTTTACTCGGCTTACTTGGTTGCTGACAAGGTTGTTGTTACAACCAAACACAACGACGATGAGCAGTATGTGTGGGAATCACAAGCTGGTGGGTCTTTCACTGTTACCAGAGACACCTCTGGTGAGCCTCTTGGTAGAGGTACCAAGATGACCCTTTACCTTAAGGAAGACCAAATGGAGTACATTGAGGAGCGCAGGCTTAAGGATTTGGTCAAGAAGCACTCTGAGTTCATCAGTTACCCTATCTCTCTGTGGGTTGAGAAGACCATTGAGAAGGAGATTTCTGATGATGAAGAGGAGGAAGAGAAGAAGGATGAGGAAGGAGAGGTTGAGGAAGTAGATGAGGAGAAAGAAAAGGAGGAGAAGAAAAAGAAGAAGATTAAGGAGGTTTCTCATGAGTGGGATTTGGTGAACAAGCAGAAACCTATCTGGATGAGGAAGCCAGAGGAGATCAACAAGGAGGAGTATGCTGCTTTCTACAAGAGTCTGAGCAATGACTGGGAGGAGCATTTGGCTGTGAAGCATTTCTCTGTTGAAGGACAGCTTGAGTTCAAAGCTATCCTCTTTGTTCCCAAGAGAGCTCCTTTCGATCTCTTTGACACTAAGAAGAAGCCCAACAACATCAAGCTCTATGTCCGTCGTGTCTTCATCATGGACAACTGTGAAGATATCATTCCTGAGTACCTTGGATTCGTCAAGGGTATTGTCGACTCTGAAGATCTTCCTCTCAACATCTCCAGGGAAACGTTGCAGCAGAACAAGATCCTCAAGGTCATTCGCAAGAACCTTGTGAAGAAGTGCATTGAGCTCTTCTTTGAGATTGCTGAGAACAAGGAGGACTACAACAAGTTCTATGAGGCTTTCTCTAAGAACCTCAAGCTTGGTATCCACGAGGACTCACAAAACAGGACAAAGATCGCTGAGTTGCTCCGCTACCACTCAACCAAGAGCGGTGATGAGTTGACCAGTCTGAAGGACTATGTGACAAGGATGAAGGAAGGTCAGAACGATATCTTCTACATAACTGGTGAGAGCAAAAAGGCTGTTGAGAACTCTCCATTCCTTGAGAAGCTCAAGAAGAAGGGTTACGAAGTCCTCTACATGGTTGATGCAATTGACGAGTATGCCATTGGTCAGCTCAAGGAATTTGAGGGGAAAAAGCTTGTCTCTGCAACCAAGGAAGGTCTGAAACTGGAAGAGACTGAAGACGAGAAGAAGAAGAAAGAAGAGCTTAAGGAGAAGTTTGAGGGACTGTGCAAAGTGATCAAGGACGTTTTGGGAGACAAGGTGGAGAAGGTGATCGTCTCTGACCGTGTGGTGGACTCACCGTGCTGTCTTGTAACCGGTGAGTATGGCTGGACCGCTAACATGGAGAGGATCATGAAAGCACAAGCTTTGAGGGATAGCAGCATGGCTGGTTACATGTCGAGCAAGAAGACAATGGAGATTAACCCAGAGAACTCTATCATGGACGAGCTGAGAAAGAGAGCTGATGCGGACAAGAACGACAAGTCTGTGAAGGATCTTGTGCTTCTCCTCTTTGAGACAGCTCTTCTCACTTCAGGTTTCAGCCTCGACGAGCCCAACACTTTCGGAAGCAGGATCCACAGGATGTTGAAGCTTGGATTGAGCATCGACGAGGATGATGCCGTTGAAGCCGATGCTGAGATGCCTCCTCTTGAAGATGATGCTGATGCCGAAGGTAGCAAGATGGAGGAAGTCGACTAAACGTTTATTTGTTTCTCTTTTATATTTTCGTTGAAACTAATGTTTTTATAACAAAAACTCGAAAATGCTCAAAAGTCATAACAAAGCTTATTTATGTTAGGTAGTAACCTAATTATGATTATGTTTTTGATGTGTCTTCATAAACGTGATGAGAGAAATGGTCCGAGTTCTGAGCAACTTGGAGAAAAATTGAAGAATTGTGTGCTAAGCACAATCATAGATGACACGATAGATCCCGAAGAAGAAGAATTTGAGGTCAGTTTTTATGAAGATATGGATGATGGATGATACCAACTCAAAACTTATACCATTTTATAAAAATTGTTATTTCTTAACTGTCAGTGTTTTTAAACAAAAAATCATTCTAGGCTCTGCAATTTATTGTATTTTATCAAAATTAATTAATTATTATTAAATTTGATGGTAGAGTTGTTTCAAATTATTATCAATCTAAAATATAATATTACATGAAAATAAAGTCAGTTGTAAAGAATTTAATATAGAAAAATGCTAATAAACATACCCGTTCCGATAGATCGCGGCGGGATTTTTTCTAGATCAGTTTTCGTTTTTCTCGGACTTTCACGTACTGATCGCATTTTTTCTCGATCAGTTTTTGTTTTTCTCGGATTTTCACGTACTGATCAGATTTTTTCTCGATCAGTTTTCGTTTTTCTCGGACTTTCAAGTACTGATCGCATTTTTTCTCGATCAGTTTTCGTTTTTCTCGGACTTTCACGTACTGATCGCATTTTTCTCGATCATTTTTCATTTTTCTCGATCAATATTGTTGAATCCCATCAATAAAATAATTTTCTTATAACCATAAAATATTATTATACATATGTATTACATTTAAAAATATAAAAAAGAACAATGAAGAAATGAAAAATACATATAAACAAAAAATAAATAAAATTGAAAACAAAAATTTAAATTAAATATTTAATCAAACTCTTACAATGACATCTTAATTGAGTTTTCACCCCATGCAAGAACTTTTTTTTTTAAACAAAGAAAATAATGAAGATATGAGATATGATAGAGGAGGATGTGAGAATGGCTATTTATAGGATAAGAAGTGATGTAAGTTACATTTTTAAATTAATTAAATTAGATGAGTCATTATTATAATTTATAGTGTGTTTAATTGAAATTCAATAAAGAAAACCAATAGTCTTTGAAAATTTATATAATTTTCAGTTACATTTTAGTAGTAAAGTGTGGATTCAAAGTATGAATTGATGTATATGATTAAATGTGTTTTTTGGTAAATAAATATTAAATTTTTTAAAAAATATATATATATCAAATGGAGCAATAAAGAGAGAGTGAAACCTTACATTTATATATATGATTATTGGTTTGGAGTTATGAGAATTGTATTGAATGATTGTCATTAACATTTACTTATATATATATATATATATATATATATATATGTTTTTTTAAATGAAAGGCTTAAATGTTTTTCCACCAATAAGGAGAGAGTGAAACCTTACTTTTATATATATGATTAGAAATTTTTAAAAAAAATTATCTAATCAAAAATATATTGCAGGATTTACCATAAAAGAACAAGATCAAAGGTAGCTAGAACTAGCCATCAATCAAAACCATCAAATTTAAGTGTTGATGAAAATCGGGAGAAACATGTTCTAGACCAAACAAGAAGATCTCTAAAAGCAAAAAAGACAAAGAATTGTGGTAAAAATTCTAATGTTAAGTTATATAACAAGATAGTTATTTATTGTCACATTAGTAGTTGAGATATCATCCAATTTCACATTAATATGTTATAGATTATTTATTTAAATGAAATTACATCAATTAATATATCTCATAGAATCACGTCAACTAATATATGTGTACAAAAGTGTATTGATACGTTAATTACTACTGCCTTTATTTTTTCCAGGAAACAATAAAGAAAAACAAAACAATATGGTAACATGTCATTATTGCAAGACTTTGGTGTGGGAATCAGAAAGTTTAAAACTGAGTGGAAAGGAATTGAAATTTTCAATTTGTTGTCAACAAGGACGAGTTGTCCTACAACGATCTCGACAAACTCCAACTTACTTAGATGATTTATTATCACGGTCAACACTCTTTCGGACTAATATACCAGCATATAATTCAATGCTTGCTTTTACATCAATGGGTGGGAAAATCGATTACGATATCAATTCAGGAAATGGTCCTTTCACTTTTCGTATGCATGGTCAGAATTACCATAAGATTGGATCTTTGCTACCGGTCGAAGGAGATATACCACGTTTTGCAGAGTTATACGTATACGATACTGCTCATGAAGTTCAAAACTGACTCAACACTCTTGCGAAAGGAAAAAATAATGAGTTAGATGAAACAATTATGGGCAGACTAATTGAAATGCTCGACAAATACAATGAGATAGCTAAAGTTTTTAGAATGGCTAGAGATAGATATGAGTCTGGAGCAAATGAAGAATACTCAATTAGATTAATCAAAAATAAAGAATGAGGCAGACAATTTGACCTTCCACAAGGAGAAGAGATTGCGGGACTAATTGTGGGTGACATGTCTATCCCAAATTCTGACAAAGATATAATATGGCATCCTGAAATGGAAAAACCACAGTACATCAGCTTTTTACATCCATCATACATGTCACTACAATATCCTTTGTTGTTTCCACATGGTGAACAAGGATATACTACTAAAAGGTCATACGTTACAATGCGAGAGTATTATGCATACCAAATACATGCTAGATTGACATCTCCGGGGACAATAGTACGTGCAGGCCGTTTATTTCATCAATACGTGGTTGATGCATATACAGCTATCGAACAAGAACGTATGAACTTTTATTTTTTGATTGCGTTACGTTTTTGTGTGAATGACGTAAACCCTAGAGTTTTGGAGAAATTTGAGGAATTTTAAAGCCTTTGTTTTGGGAATTTTAGGGTTTTTGTAATGGAGAACGATAGAATCAGCGAACTTCCGGATTCATTGATCACAACGCATATACTTGTATGGTTTCCGACAAAAGAATCGGTTAAGACAAGTGTTTTATCGACCAGATGGAGAAATCTATGGCTTTATGTTCCCAGACTTGACTTAAACTCCGATGACTTCCAGTTTCTTGACTTGAACAGTGAGTCAAGCTTTCAAAAGTTCAATCTAGATTTCGAGACCCAAGATTTCATGCCTATGACTCTTTATAAGAACAAGACACTGGTATCTTAAAGCTTGTACACGTAATGCTTGAGAATCCAAAGTTTGTTGTTTCTTCTCTACCTTGTCTCAAGATCATGCATCTGCTACGGCCTTTGTGATGGTCCTTTGGTTGTGGAGAAGCTCATCTCAGGATGTCCTGTTCTTGAAGAACTTGAGCTGATCAAGCTTTCTAAGTAATATTTTTACTCGAGAAGTTCTGATGCGTCTGTGTGTGAGGTCTCATACTCTGAAAAGCCTTCGTTTACATTTCGCGGGTTTGGCCGAGAAAAACTACTTTACAAACATGCCTCAATGTTTGATACCGACGCTGGAGTATGTTGATATTAAGAAACATGTGATAAAACATGAAACTGGGATCATCAAACTAGTGAATTACTTTCTTGAGAATTCAGCATTTCTCAAGAAACTGACTCTTCTTCTGTAACCAACCAAGAGCTAGAGAGCTACAAGAAGCTTATTACATCTGTGAAGCTCTCTCCCACATGTCAAGTTATCATACATCTGATGATGAGCATAGTTGAACAATAGTTGTGTAGGAAGGCTCAATTCTCATATTAAATATGCAGTTAAGAATGGTCTTTTGGATTCTTTATCTTCTCTTTCAAGTTAATGTAATTGTAAAGTTTGTTACTTACAAGTCAAGAAGTATTTCTTAGCTTATTACATGTTTTTGATTTATTTTTTCTCTTTTTAATTCTTAGAAATTTGCTAAAAACTTGCATTGGAGTTGGTCTTACATGCATTATTGTGTTCCGTTATCCATTCTTGATCAAGTTCTTACTTTTGCTGTCGGAAACCTATGATAGATGTAAGATTACTTAAGTTTCTTATTACACGTTACTTATTAGGATTACATGTTATTTTTTCAAAAAGAAATTTTTTCTTAATTCTAAAAACGCATAACTTTTACAAAGAAAACCCGGATCTTTTTCACTAAGACATATTTTTTATTAAATAAAATTTATTTTTCGCTTAATCGCACAGAATATTTATATTTTGTCAACACTCACCCCGAAATACCATTATTATTTTTTCAAGTTTTTCAAGTATCGCATTATTATTATTTATTCAATGTTTTCCTCGAAATTACAATACACTCCCATAATTGTTTCTCTATAATTTTGATACGTCCTAGTATAATTTTTCAATTAACAAATAGAATTATTTAATCTAGTTTCAATTTTCAATAATAGTGTTCTACAGTTAAGATTCAATAGTTTGTGCATTGAATAAAAATGATTATTTCCTATAACTACTCTAGTTGATTTCATACTTTGACTAATTTTTTTTCAAAAATAACATAGAATCTAAGTCCTTTTACATTAATGTTCAAAATTGTTTTTTTCTTCTTTTTTTTGGTATGAGTGTTAAGTTTATCATATTGTGTTCAAAGTTCAATTTTTTTTTTGGTATGAGTGTTACGTTGATTATGTATTTTGTGTTATAGCTTGACCACAACAAGTTCAAAGTTGCAAACATTAATATAAACATTCATGAATACCAAAAATCTAAGAATTGACTCTTTTAATGCAATCTAATCAGCACCATCTTTATTTTGTATATATATATATATGCTCACATCATGCACTCACAAAAACATATTCTTAAATTAAAAGAAAATATAAAACATAAACTAGTATTACTCTTAAATTTCGGTTCATTCTCTGTCTTTCTCTAATCTAACAAACTCATATTTTGCTTCCAAAAATGAGTTTGAAGAAAATAAAGGAAGGCAAAAGATAAAGATAAAGAAAATTGAGAGAGAAGAGGACAGATTGGTCACATTGTCAAAGCGAAAAATGGTATCTACACAAAGCTCTGTGAGCTTTCTGTTCTCTGCGACGTTAATGTTGCATTTCTCGAGTACACCGGCCCTGGAAAGCCATCTACATTTGGCAGTCCATCGTTCCATGCCGTCGTGGAACGATTTCTCAATGCCGAAGCCTCATCGCCCTCTTCTTCTTTGCAATGAGCGGTTGATAGTGACAATAAAGCGAAGATTCAAGAGCTTTGCAAATTGTACAACAATATGATGGATGGGGCACGTGCTGAGGAAGCAAAAGCAACGGAGGCAGCTGCGTCCGTGGGGCCGTTGCCAGAAGATGCATGGTGGAAAGTGCCTCTGGAAGAGGTGAAGGATCAAGAAGAGATGAAACAGTTGCTCGAGAGGTTTGAAGGGCTCTATGAGAAGCTGTGTTATGGACTTGCTGCAAGGAGCGAGAGAAACGATACTGCAGAAAATGACAAATGATCTATACCTCATTAGTATATTATTTGTTGTGTTTTTTTGTGTGTTTTTGTGTGGTTGTGTTGTTGCTTGGTTGTGTGGTTTTATAATTATGAATTGTTTTTTCTTAAATTTGTACTATTCTCTAATACATTCAATGTGTTGGAATTAAAAAATATTTTCAATGTAATTTGGGAAAAATAATGAAAAACAGTAATAATTAAAACTTGGTTTAAAACGACGATTCCTACTATCTCATTCAATATTTTAATACAAATTTTTCTTAACATCCCTAATATATTAATTGAGAAACACACTTGAAAAAATCTTACTCGCACGTCTAATAATAAAAATGTCATACTAATTTGTTGCTGTTAGAGAGCTTCTCTTTTTTTTTTCTTTGGGGAGTGGAAGGAAAAAATCCTCCATAATTTATATTTTATATAATAAAACAACAATATAGGCTCACAAACAACCATAGCGTGAAGTCGCTAACCCATGTTAACCGTAACCTTATAATAATGGTTAAAAACCATAATTTTTAATCGTAAAAGTATATCAATTGCAGTTACTAACCGTAATGGTTGTTAGCCGTACCCGTATCAAAACCGTTTGTTAAATGTACAGTTAACCACATACTTTACCGTACATTAATCGCATAGTTTACCGTACGGTTGACCGCATAGTTAACCGTGCTGTTAAATCTTTACAATAAATTATTTCACTGAAATAGTATTTAAAATGGCTTAATATGTCTTAAAAGATCTAACGGTCATGTTCTGATCCTATAGAAACATCTTTCAAAGAACCCTAATACGAAGAGCAATTCAATCAAATTCTTAATTATTAACAATCGACTTCGGAACCCATGAAGAAAAATCAAAGCTTTACCAAAGACTTACCGTACATGAGAAGTAACGTTGAGATTTGACGGCGGACGTAACTCCAGAACAACCACCGGGAAACTCTGTTTCTGCCACTATCCCTCTCTCTCTCTTGTTATTTATTCCCGACACAACCAAAGCTTGTTTATGCCCTAAAAGATCTAAAAGACCATGTTCTGATCCTATGAAAACATCTTTTAAGGAACCCTAATACAAAGATCATGTTCTGATCCTATGAAAATATCTTTTAAAGAACCCTAATACAAAGATCATGTTCTAATCCTATGAAAACATCTTTTAAAGAACCCTAATACAAAGATCATGTTCTAATCCTAATACGAAGAGCCTTTCATCAGATTCCTAATTATTTAACAATCGATTTCGGAACTCATAAAGAAAAATCAAAGCTTTACGAACAACTTACCGTACAAGAGAAGAAACGTTGAGATTTGATGGCAGACGTAACTCCAGAATCACCGGAAGACTCTGTTTATGTTACCATCTCTATCTCTCTCTCTCTCTCTCGTTTCTGTCACGCTTTGTATTCGAAAGAAAAGTTATGTTTGTTGAAGCAAGCGTTGTATTATTGTTTCTTCTGTGACAAACTTGAACTTGGGGAAGGTGAAGAAGAATGAAGATGATTATGAAGTTTTGGTACTTATAAGCGGCCGTCGCAGCATACTTTCTAAGTTCTAACCGTTGTGTGATAACGGCTCTATAACGCAAACTCATTTTTAACTTCTTTAATTAAGTTACTCGTTTGATATTAACTTAATTTACTAATTATTCATTTAATTTTATTCTTTCTACTAACACAAGGTTATGAAAAAAGAAAATTATTCTAATTCTTATTTTGTTGTTTGGGTCGGATCGGGTATTTTGTCTTTGGATTATCCAAAATTCCCAAAAATCAAAATTGTAACATTTAAATATGTCTAAACTATTCAAAAATATAAAAACTATGTTGGAGTAGTCAAAAGATTGATCATGAACTTCCGGGAAGTGATTGTCGGAACTGTGTGAGTGAAGCCAAAATACAGGAAAATATCACGTGGTGATTTATAGGGTCGGTAAACGAGTATTTAAGCCTCTCGTACGTAGCAAACCGACCATCGGATATAAATGAACTCACGGGCCTAATGAGAGGACGTGAGGCCCACTAAAAGAGGTGAGCCCATGGGGGCTGAGAGTAAACACGGGACCACTGGAGAAATGACGATTGAAGTGTTACAGATGTATTCGGGTATCAGGTTTAGGTTCGAGTTTTCGAGTCTTGAGATTTAGAACCTATTCGAATATTTTAAAATTTTGAGTTCGGGTTTGCATCAAGTTTATTGGATTGGATTCATATCGGCACCTCGGGTTTAGAAAGGTTCCTCAGGCCTAATTGTGAGTCCAATTCATTATTATTAATATATATATAAACATAGTATATAAAGAACCACCATATGCTTAATTTACACTAAAGAGTATAAAGAAATGAAAGTGATTTTAGTTTCTTTGTTCTTAACAACGTTCTTAGCCTTTCTCTTCCTAAAACATATCCTCAAAAGAACCACAAAGGTAAACCTACCACCATCTCCGTGGCGGTTTCCGGTGATTGGAAACCTCCACCAGCTCAGCCTTTACCCGCACCGCTCTCTCCGTTCCCTTAGCCTTAGATATGGACCGCTCATGCTTCTCCACTTTGGTCACGTCCCTATTATCCTAGTCTCTTCTGCTGAGGTAGCTCGTGATGTCATGAAAACATATGATCTAAAGTTTGCCAACCGCCCGAAAACAAAAATGGTCGATATACTTCTTAATGGTGGGAGAGATTTGGTCTTTTCTCCCTATGGTGAATATTGGAGGCAGATGAAGGTATATTATTTCTTTAATGTTTTTGTTATAAATTATTAATTTAGAGTTTTGTGTTGTCTTCATGGAGACTATTGGAGATAGATTAAGGTTTTTTATGGAGGTAGATTAAGGTAGACTATTAAATGCCCATTCATATCAACTAATAACCGAATTGATCTGTAAATATACATATATAAAATATTAATTACAATTTTCCTTAATTAGTGTGCCTGTATATTCTTTTGTAACCATCTTGATACTTTTGAAAATTTGCAATCAATCTAATTATTTGCATGCATGTAGAGTATCTGCGTTCAGAATCTCCTCAACAGCAAAACAGTGAGGTCCTTTGAAAATATAAGAGAAGAAGAAATCAATGTGATGATGGAAAAGCTAGAGAAAGCGAGTTCCTCCTCTTCAACGGTGAATCTAAGCGAGCTCATCTCGGATCTTACAAACGATGTTATAACTAGAATTGTCTTCGGGAGAAAATATAGTTTTGAGGAAGGTAGTGACATTTCAAGGGGCATATTGAGGAAGTTCATGGAGCTCTTTGGTGCTTTTCCTCTCGGCGAATACATTCCTAGCTTAGCATGGATCGATAGGGTACGAGGTCTTGATAACAAAGTAGAAGAAGTAAATAACCAGATTGATGGGTTCTTAGAAAGAGTGGTGCAAGAACATGAAGATGCTGATGAAGTGAAGTCAAGTTTTTTTAGTATATTGCTATCGGTGCAAAGAGATAAGACCGCGCAATTTGAGCTCGATAGAAGCGGGTTAAAAATTATGCTCTTTGTAAAGCAAACTCATGTTGTTTCCTTTAAGAATTTTGAAGCTTGCAGAATTAAGTAATGTAATTAATTTGTAATTTTCTTTCTTTATTTAGGATATGTTGCTTGGGGGTTCGGCAACAACTTTTACACTACTTGAATGGACAATGACAGAGCTTATGAGACATCCAGAGTGTATGAAGAAACTCCAAGAGGAGATTCGTTTAATTTCGACGCGTAGTTTACATGTATCGGAGAAGGAAGTTGAGAAAATGAACTATCTACATGTTGTTATTAAGGAGGTTCTTAGGATACATCCGCCCGCTCCATTACTTCCCCGGCTATTGAGTGAAGATGTCAAATTACATGGATATGACATAGCTGCTGGAACACAAGTAAGTCTTAACGGCTTACCAAATTCATGTCTAAATTAAAAAATATATCTGTTGTTGTAAGAGGAAAATTTATTTTGGGGATATAGGTACTAATCAATTTATGGACAATCCAAAGAGACACTAAAACATGGGGACCAGATTCAGAAGAATTTAGGCCGGAGAGGCATTTAGATTCACCTTTGGATTTTCAAGGACAAAATTTCAATTTCATTCCATTTGGATCTGGAAGAAGGGGTTGTCCTGGTATCGAATTTGCCTTGGGTTTGGTCGAGGTGACACTTGCAAACCTTGTGAACCGGTTCGAATGGAGAGTCGAGGGAGGTGGTAAGCCTGATGTTTTTGAAGCTACTGGTATTGAAGTTTGCCGCAAGTTTCCTCTTGTTGTATGTCCATCTTCTACTCTATTCTCTTTGTAAGACCCATTTCTAAAGTACCCAATGTTTTGCCCTAAAATACCAAACTTATGGCTAAACAATTTTTGGCTATGATATATAATATATATGTCCCCTTTTGTAATAACTGCTAGCGGCGGAAGGATAGCTGTCAATTAGGCGGATTGTATGTGGGTTTGTCCGGTCCAAACTATTATGGATGGACCATGGACACGTCTAAACAAAAAACTATCCAATTGGACTAATTAAAGACCCATTCTACCGCAGAACCTGGTCAGAAAAATCCTTAGACAAGTTTTTTTAGTGAAATTGTTTGAAAGAACAAAGTTATTTGAACATATCAAGAGTACTAGTCAAATCTAGTTACAAGACATTATAAACTAAAAAATAGGAAACTTGTAATATAAAGCTTTGTACTACTATACTACTGTTATGTCATAACTCATAAACTAATTAAGAGCACTTCCATCAGTGTTTTTATATGAGAGTTTTAGTATATTTGGTCTGTGAAAGTCTCTAACCGATAAAGATGCTTCAAGTCTTAAGACTAGACGTAAGCATAAATGGATACTAGGAAATTTCTGATTTTCTACGGAACATATTATAGGAAAATAGTAGGAAATACCTGTTTTCATCATTTTCTTACGGAAATTTTGGTAGGAAATGTCCCGTACAAAATTGGTATTGGTGAAATTTTCGTAGGATGATAAATAAAAATGTAAGACATATTAATGATCTATTTGATATCTTGGAATATCAACATATAGTATTATTATAACGATCTAGGTAATCTCTTTATCAATACGAAATATCAATTAGTGATGATAGAGCCTTCGTTTTCATGACATCAATCATATAATTTTCTTAACATTTTTTTAGTGGTAGTTTCTGCATATAAAATCAGGCGACAATAACTTGTCGATAGTGAAAGTATAACAACTATTGTAGTGGTCTTAATAAAGACTACCAATTAGATTCAACAAAGATAGTATTAAATTAAAAGTATTTTTATAAAAATACGATTGATATGGTCATCAAAAGAATAATAAAGTGTTAATCATTGGAAAATAAACATAGTATAGTTTTATATAGACATAGGTAGGTAAATAGATAGGCACGTTTGGGTTGTGTAGCTAGTAGATCTTTGATTGATATCATAACTAATTGGTTGCTTTAATTGCTTAATGATCCACACTTAAGCAAATATGTATTTTAAAACAAGAAGTGGAAGTTCCCTATATATATCGTCTAATGACTCTAATCACATGAATTTTATATGTACACAAGTTTAATAATTAGTCCATGAGATCATAAAAGCAAATACCGAATCTTTCATGCAAAGAAATCTATATATATAAAATTGGCTTTTTCTCTTTTCTCATGATGCCACCTAAGCATCCACATAAACCACATTTTTTTCTACATTAAAATAAATTTAAAACATTCATTTACTGCATATTTATGCTACTTATTTGATTAATAGAAAATTTATATAAATAAAAATAAATTATGTAATAAATGAAATGTTAAATAAGAAATACTTTCATTTTATATTAGTTAGTGGTAATAATATAATTCAACTTTCATTTTAAATTGATCATAGTTTAAAATTTTAAATGTGTTACTGACTTTAAGAATGTAAGTAAATTTTCAATTTATGGTAGAATAAAAACAACATTTATGTAATTGTACATATAAAATCTTAAAGGGGAAAAATAAAATTGAAAGTGAATTATTAGTTTATAACATGATAAAAAGAAAATGATTTTAATCCAAATTTAAATATTGAAAGATAATAATTCAAGAGAAAATAACTATAATATGTTTTGAAAATCAATTAAAAATAAATAAAATATCACAATATGAATAAACAATTAGAAAAATATATATAAACCTCCCGCGCGCAGCGCGAGTCAACTGCTAGTATTTTATATAAAGAAGTGGAAGTTCCCTGTATGTATAGTCTAATCAAATGAAAAAATTATTATATACACAAATTAATAATAGTTAGTCGATGAAATCATAAAAGCAATACCAAATTTTTATTTATAAACTTGATTAGGATCTGCCTACGCACGAATAATTATTTTAAATTTTATAATTGTGTAAAGAAAATAAAAATAAAATTAGATGATACGTGAAATAAAATAAGAAGTTATTTATTTTCATATTTTTAATTGTCTGTTCGGTTGATCTCAATTAGTTTTCCTCACATCGTTTGAAATATTTTGGCTTTATTATTCCTATTTTGGATTAAATATAATTATACATTTTGTTGTTTATGTTTTATAAATTTAACCAATTGATTATCATATTCTTATTTAACTTATAATAACATAATCAAAACAAAATCTACCACTCTTTATGTTTCATAAAATGTGTAATTCTAGATATTTATCTTTGTTTCATAAAAGAATGTCATTGTATTTTTTTCAATGTTTTGTATATACGCTCTCTAATTTACTCTTACCCGAAAATAATTTTCATTGAATTAATCACCTACTATATCATAGATACATATATTTTTTTTTATCAAACTAATACATATATATTTCAAAGTTTTTTTTAATTTTTGTGAAATATGAAAAAATGATATTATTGTAATTTTGTTAATTAGTGGAAAGAAAGAATATTTAAATCATAAAATTTTGAAACGAAACATTTATGATAATACTTAATATAGTCTACCAATATAAAGTAGTTATTTGTTCAAAAAAAAATTAAAAAAGTTAAAGATTATGATTTAATTTGCAGTACACCATAAAACAATGTTTTTTACGCCATTATGACTGAATTAACTTTATATGATGTCTAATATTCTAATATTGGTAGTACTAACAAAATATTAAAGTAGTATACGACATATTTACGATTAATGATATTTTTAAATTTCAAGTAATGTCATATCCAAACTCCTTCAGTCATATGACCTAGTCCCGAGGTTATGTAAACGGTACGAACTGATTGATAGAAAAAACTAGGCCTGGGTGTTTGGATATCGAATCGGGTTTGGTTCGGATTTTTTGGTTTTCGGATTTTTTGGATATTGATTCTAACATCGATTCGGGTATTTATAAAATTTGGTTCGGTTTTGGTTCGGATAATTCAGATTTTGGTTCGGTTTGGATATAATTGTAATAATTCAATTTTAAACAAAACTTATCGGATTTATTCGGATATTTTTTAATCCAATTACACTCAAATAATCCATACTATCATATCCAAGTATATATAGAAAATAGAAATGAGGCAAATGACAAGTTAAAAGAACCAACTAACATAATACCATATCAATATATAAAAATGAAGCATAAACTGTATCGATACATAAAAGTTTTAAATAAACCAAAATAAACCATAAATTCCTAATGAAAAAAGTAGCAAAATTCAGTAACAACCTAAATCAAATTGAAAATAAATTTTAAAAAACTTCAAGACGATGAGAGAAGGAAGTTCAAGCTTCTACCCAGCTACAACCAAGATATGGCAAAGAACAATATTAAAGTATATGTGGCAAACATATATATCTTAAAAATATTAAAATATATATTATAAGTTCGGTTATATATGAATATCTATTGGATATCGGTTTGGATCGGGTTTAATCCGATATCCAAAAATAATGAATTGCTAACAACCGATCGGTTATTTTCCCAATATCAGATTTTATGTCCATGCCTAGAAAAAACTTTAAATTTGAACGTTTGTTTAGCTAACCTTCATGGCTACTCGTATTCAAATTCAGATTAAATCGGTCATATTATAATATAACTTTGAATTATTGTCTAAAGCTTTTAACTGATATGATACTTTAGATACTTTTTTTTCATTAATTGAGTAATATATATCCGTTTTTCAAATTCGTATCACAACATAGCTTTCTGTATTATTAACTAACTATTAAGCAAAAGTCTAAGTTAATAAAATATTTATAGTCCGAACATGTTAATTCATAGCGGTTTTATATACAAAATAATTTCGCTAATATATCTTGTATTAAAAATCTTATAACCAAAATCTCTATATTAGTAAAAGAGAAGTACAAAAAGTGCTTCCGGGTCGGGTCAATTTCAAAAAATTACCCGAAATTTGTAATTGGATCTTTTAAAATTGGATAGATTAATGGGTTTGGATACATACACCGGATACTTTCCAAATCTAATTTTAGGATTGTATTATTTTCATAACTAATTATAATATTTACTAATATTTCTCTAACTAAATTAATACAATCTATTTAAAAAAATATTATTCTTCTTTCACTTTTATTTGATATTATTTTAAATTTATGATATTATACTATATAATATAAATATTTAATAAAAATTTAACTTTTTTTGCATATGTTGCAATTTGAATTTTCAAAACGGACATATAATACTCAACTACACTCGGTTAAATATTTTGGACAAC